GGTGTACCTGTGTACGTTAAGAGAAGCACAGTAAACATCAGTAAAGAAGAACTCTCGTGTATGTGTACAAGCCGGCATAGTCACTGTTTCACTCATTCTGTTATCAGCAGCTGAATGTCAATCACCTGGATCCAGTGATGATCAATAATTATAGATCTGTTTCTAATCTTCAGAGTGTTAGAAATAATTTACAGCTGTCTCTGAAACAGACTCAGGACCCTCGAGCTCACTGTGGTCACCAGAACTTTTGCCTGAGAACGTTGTAACCTTGGATACCTCAGACATGGCTCCGTGTCCAGCTGCTCGGTTTACTGTGACGCTGTGTTTCATCTTCAGACACGGTGCTGAAGGCCCTTCTATCCTGTGTGTTGGCCCCAGTGTGTTGATGCGTGCTGTGTAAATACAACAGTAATGTGCAAAAGTCTTGAGTCAGATATTCTTGTGGTTTTTAAAGGAGCAACAGCTCTCCAGCAAAGGAGCAGTTTTAAACTGTCTTCTTTGTCAGCAGAAGCCTGTCACGCCATGTGACGCAGTTTGACATAAAATCGTATCATTGCTCCAACGAGCTGCTAGCTGAAAGCTGCATATCTCCACGTCATGTTCACTGAAGCCCCGTGGGCCTCCTCAGAGCCGGAGCTCACTGAAGCAGGGTGACAGGGAACAGAAACCTCCGGAGATCACACCACACAAACACAAGTTGGATGTTTAAACATCAGATTTATTTCTGTGCTTCAAAGGAACAGAAGACTTTCAGCTACAGATGAGGACATGAGACTGAAACATCAAAGACATCAGTTCAGTTCAAAGGTTAAACGTTGGGCAGACGTGACGCTGCTACAGAGCGTCAGCTTCACCCAGAAACATGGAGACGAGAACAGGAAGTCGTCGGGGTCTGATGACGGAGACGAGGACAGCAGGGAATAACGTGGGAATGCAAACACACGGGAGTCTTGAGTCATTTCACCTCGCTCTGTTTTTGTGCCCGGCTGTGTTCGCTGATTCGTCAGTGACCACGGTGACCTCGCCAACACCTCGGGTCTGAATCATCAGTGGTCACTGAAGACGTGAGGTTCGTAACGGGACTTTTAACATCTGGTTTCCTGTGATGGTAAAAACAGTCGAGTGCTGAGACGACCGCAGACCGTGCTGATGCTCAGTAGAAGGGGGAGGTGCCGTTCCACGCGATCACAGCGCCGTCCCACTTGGTCCTGATGGTCATCTCCAGTGAGGGAAACCGTTTCTCTGGATCTCCTTCTGCATCTCCGGGCGACGCCTCCCAGTGGTGGGAGTGAGTATCTGTACAGGAAGCAGATGGTGGATGAAGCACGAGAGGGATCAGACCTGCAGACGTGTGACCGCAGCGCTCACCGACTGTCAGCCTGGCCGTCGCCGTCTGCGAGCTCTGCCCGCTGTAGTAGTACAGCTGGAACAGATGCTCCGCCCTCCAGTCTGACAGCAGCGAGCGCGTGGCGCTGAACAAGACCGAGCAGCTGCTGTTGATGCTGCAAACCCACACCGGGAACCGGGGGGTCTTCAGCATGCTGCCCACCTGCAGACAGAGGGAGACAGGCAGGGGGCGCTCTCCTGTAAGAACAGCTGTTTAACAGCCTCGTGGAGGAAGGTGCAGGTGGAGGTGCCGGTGTTGGCTAATATTAGTTCTTGGTTTTGTTTGAAGGTGGAGAGGGTGGAGAGGGTGGATATCAGCTAACAGGGAGTGTTTAGCGAGCTGCATCCATAAAATGATGCAATCCTAGTATCGCTCTCAAACTAAGGGTACCCCCGCATCAACGAGGCCACGCCCCTAACAGAATGACCCAGGTGGATGAGTGATAACACATCCACCTGGGTCATTCTGTTAGGGGCGTGGCCTCCACAGAGACGTGTCTGAAGCTCCTCAGTCGTGGTTATCGTGGGAAGAAAAGCGTCTGGACTTCTTGGAGACGTTTCATCTGAGAAGCTTCTTCAGCTCTGAGGCAGA